GTGCAAGCCCTCGCGCTCTAGCCACGATTGCTCCCTGGTCCCCTACTTCTCGGTGCCCATTCACTCCTTGCACGGCCATCACATCGAGCAAACAACTCATCGCTCAAGTACAGCGCCCTCAGTAGTGCAGTCAAGCACACCATGGTGAAGGTTACGCCCACCAAGAAAGGTCATGGCGGAGCAACCAAGCCTGGGTCCAAACACACTGGCGGAAAGGGCGTCAAGTTCGTAAAGTGAGTGAGCGCGTGTGAGCGTGGTTGCAGAGGTGCAGAGGGAAGCGGTGTAGCTGGCACAATCATGTACGATTCCCTTTGTTTTTCTTGTGCGGGTCGATCTGACACCTCTTCTACTGTCCGCTTCTCTCTCTGTCTTAGGGGCGAGAATTTCTACCGAGATGCCAAGCAAGCCAAACGCGTCAAGCTGCTGTCGAAGAACGGCATCGCTTCCAAACCCATCCGCGATGCAGCAGGCAACGTGACCCAAGCGCAAGAGTTTCAGTCTTCAGATGCCACACCTGGTCGTGTTCAGCCTGATCGTCGGTGGTTTGGCAATACGCGGGTCATCTCGCAAGACGCCTTGGACCATTTCAGGACCGCGCTCGGATCTCGGGTGGATGATCCTTACTCTGTGCTGCTCAGGAGAAACAAGCTGCCCATGTCGCTGCTGCAGGACGCCAAGAATGGTAAAGCCCCTAGGCTCACCGCTGTCGAGAGCTTCGAGGAGACGTTCGGTCCCAACTCGAAGCGCAAGCGACCTCGATTGGATCCGGGCAACTCGGGAAGCTTCGCAGAGCTGGCACAAGCTTCGGAAAAGGCAGGCCTGGAGGCAGAAGAAAAGGAGGAGCTGCAAAAGTTCAAAGCCGGAGGTCATCACCTGGTGCAAGATGGAGCAGAGATTGGCATGGCGCAGTCGAGCCAGGCCTTGCCTACAGGTTTTATTGGTGAGAGTGCACGCGCTGGCGGCAGCAGGGTCATCGATCCGACTTCGCTGCAAGAAGAGCCTTACAGCATGACTGTCACACGAGGCAGAAGCGAGCCCATCTACAGCAAGGGGCAGAGTCGGAGGATCTGGGCAGAGCTTTACAAGGTCATCGACTCGAGCGATGTGGTCATCCACGTGCTCGATGTAAGGGATCCCATGGGTACCAAGTGCAAGAGCGTCATCAAGCACATCAAGGAGGAGAAGCCGCACAAGCATTTGGTGTTCCTGCTAAACAAGGTGGATCTCGTGCCTACTTGGGTGACTGTGAGTGATGCGCTAGCTGCCATTTTCCATCTTAGCAATCTTCCACTCGCCCCACAATCAAGTCAAGACTTGCGCCAGATCAGTGGTGCAAGAGCTGTTACGAATGTGGAAGAGCAACGTCTTCAAGCTCGAGTCCGTCTCATCGTCGTTCCTGGTGTCTTTTCGCAACGGGGATG